AAAAAAAAAAAACTATGTGGTTTATTGGCGTTGAAGTAGAGCCAGAGACGAGTGCACCCCCTCCTAAAAAAAATCCTGGATCCGCCCCTGCCCTGCATCCCTTCCCTAGCTCAATTATATTTGATTTGTTTTCTTTAGTGAGGTAAAACCATGCAATGAACTGGAAACGAGCGTGCAGAAGATGGATGATTCCTCTTTGGCTCCGTGGATTCTTAGCAGGATGTCTTTCATGTTCTTTCATTTTCAGTTTGTTTCTGGGCATGCGTGATTCAGTGGAACGGTCAGATGAGTTAGCTAACAATTATCGCGACCATCACAACAAAAAAATAAGTTCTCAACAATTTAAGGTGCATCTACCAAACATGGCTGCCAGGAGGAATGTGATTATTGTATCTCATGGCCGTTCTGGGTCTTCCATCACCGGTGATATTTTTAATCATCATCCCGACGTATTTTATTTGTATGAACCGCTTCAAACTGTACAGCGGACTCAACAAAAATTTAACGTGGGTTACAAAGGTCTTGCGGAAATCTTCCTGACAAAGGTTCTCAGCTGTAGCTTTGATGAGCCGCTTTTTCTTGAAGATATAGAATGGTATTATCGGAGACCAGTTCACCCTAAAATAAGTCAAGCGATTGGTTCACCTCCTCTGTGTCCTTATAATCTGTCAGACGAGAAATGGGATTACAAAAAGTGCTCAAAAATGACAAGTAAATCCCTAGGAAATGCATGCAAAAATCACTACCAGCTAACTGTTATAAAGATACTTCTAAGTCGCATTCCGCAAAACAGTCTTCAAAGCATCATTTCTGCTTGTAATTCTGAAGATATAGATTGTAAAATCGTGTTTCTAGTGAGAGATCCTCGCGCTGTGATACCTTCCTCATTAAGCGTACGTTTTTATAAAGAACAGGGCGGGGTTGGCAAGTTAGGCACAAGGAAGTTTAGCTATGATCTGTGCAAAATAACCGAGGAGAACCTGTATTTTTTAAGACATTTACCAGACTGGTTGCGCAGCCGTACAATGTTGCTGCGATACGAAGATTTAGCCAACAAGCCACTGAAACAAATGAGGCGTTTGTACAAGTTTGCGGGACTGTCTTTTATCGAAAGTGTTGCTGATTGGTTGAATCGAGTCACACATCCAAGCAAAAGTAGAGATGACATAAAAATAACAGGCAGTCAAGCTGCGTTCACTGTTGATGATGCACAAGCTGCTATCAACAGATGGAGATGGAAGGTGCATCCTCATGAAATTGCTATCATTGAGAAGTATTGTAAAGGTGTTATTAAGTTGATGGGTTACACACTCTTAGATAATTCTTTCGAATTACAGAGTAATATATCCATTCCCCTTTATAGTCAAGATTATGAAGCAAAAGACTGGTTTCAAGATTAATAAAAAAGAAAGCACAGTAAATTTTTGAGTAGGAAAATCAACTTTCAAGTAAATGAATGAAAATTACTATCAGCTCAATCAACCGTGGCTATCAGGCCTAAAAACCATAGACATTTGCCTTCTTCCCCAATTTCCCCCCAACTTCCACGACCATCCTGAGTATGCGCACTATTGAGAGTCCGATAAAAACATTGCAAGATATTAAAATACTGGATCATTTCAGCTGCTTTCTTACCCTTGGTGCTAGAGATTTTGCATGCGCGGTTCCCGGTTTCGGTGAAGTCTTAACAGTGGCCCCCGTGAAAGGATCTAAGGACTTTTAGACATTCTATATAAGTAACATTGTTGTATTGTTAGCAATTAAGTAATATAATTTTCTGTTATTGTATAAACTACTGTAAGAAAGTGGAATAAACTATATTTAAAATACGTAGTGCCTCGACCAAAAGAAACACCTTTCTTTCATTTCTTTGTTGGATCAAAACTTGATTGTGCGAGTTAATTATATATAGTGATTGAATTTTTTTCTTCGTTGAAGTTTTATTTTTCATTGTTTTTGGGTACGGTGATTTATGATAATGAGTTTGAAAAAGAAAATGAAATTTTGGGTAAAATTGAACAACAACCTATCTTTTTAACTTAACACTTCGTTTACAGTTTGTCTATCTACGTTTTTAGAAAGTGCATGTACATTTCACTTTTCATGTTATTTTGCAGAGCATTTAATAATAATAATAATTAATTTAGTACTAATAACTTAAACCCTCAACAGGGTGCTGAGTATAAAACTATAATTTCAATAAACCAGAGACACGTGTGGAAATTTATGTTAGTTTAGGGTGAAGGGGTGATTCTGAATACAAAAAAATAGATCCAAATAAATGAGGTAATGGTATTGATAAATTGCTTGAAGTTATGTTCTTACTTGATGGTTTTGGTTCTTATATANTGCTAGAGATTTTGCATGCGCGGTTCCCGGTTTCGGTGAAGTCTTAACAGTGGCCCCCGTGAAAGGATCTAAGGACTTTTAGACATTCTATATAAGTAACATTGTTGTATTGTTAGCAATTAAGTAATATAATTTTCTGTTATTGTATAAACTACTGTAAGAAAGTGGAATAAACTATATTTAAAATACGTAGTGCCTCGACCAAAAGAAACACCTTTCTTTCATTTCTTTGTTGGATCAAAACTTGATTGTGCGAGTTAATTATATATAGTGATTGAATTTTTTTCTTCGTTGAAGTTTTATTTTTCATTGTTTTTGGGTACGGTGATTTATGATAATGAGTTTGAAAAAGAAAATGAAATTTTGGGTAAAATTGAACAACAACCTATCTTTTTAACTTAACACTTCGTTTACAGTTTGTCTATCTACGTTTTTAGAAAGTGCATGTACATTTCACTTTTCATGTTATTTTGCAGAGCATTTAATAATAATAATAATTAATTTAGTACTAATAACTTAAACCCTCAACAGGGTGCTGAGTATAAAACTATAATTTCAATAAACCAGAGACACGTGTGGAAATTTATGTTAGTTTAGGGTGAAGGGGTGATTCTGAATACAAAAAAATAGATCCAAATAAATGAGGTAATGGTATTGATAAATTGCTTGAAGTTATGTTCTTACTTGATGGTTTTGGTTCTTATATATTAAAAATACCTATGGAGCCTACAAGACTCCTGTATCTTATTAAACTAACACTTACACTCTCTGTCTCAGAATTATGAAGACAGGATGCTCATTCCAAATCTTTGATACTGTGTATGAAATCCTGTTGTGTGGCTATTCAAATTAAATCTCTTCAGCAGTACTTTGAATAGGTTACGATTATTCTTTGACACAGTATGACATAAAATTTTTCTCAAAAATTTGTTACTAGGGGTGCAGTAACCTGTCCACAGCCCCCAATTTTTCCATAAGATGGTCAAGATCAAGTGCTCACCATCCTGGCAGCCATTTTGTAATTGGGTTCAAATGAACCAAGGAGAGTGGGCATCAGGGTTGATAGTAGTGGGGGGAGTGATCCCAAACTGTGTTCACCCCCTGAGTAGATTTGATAGTCATTTTCAGGTCAAGATGGTCACCTGCAGTGTTTGTTCTCAGCAATCTTATGAAAAAATAGGGGACGGTGAACAGTCTAGGGGTGCATATCATGACCTCCTAAAATCATTTTCAAGTGACCATCATCTGTTCATTTTGCTGTGTAATTGATGCAAATGATCAGCAGCTCTCTGAGTAATGTTCAATGCTGCGTGAATTTTTTGCAGTCCTGGTTCACTCATCAATGATAAACCACACAATCCAAAGTATGTATGTAATGCATCTATAAACAAATGATAAATATGAAAGCTATATTACTGTGTTAAAAGAGGCTGTAAAACTAGAATGAAGTTATCAAGAATTATTTTGTTTTGTGTCATAACACTTTAAGGAGCTCAAGCCGAACCATGACAATGAAAATAGAAACAACAAAAATAATTAAAGCAACAGATTTAATAAGCAAAGCAAAAACTCTGAACATGCAGCACACTTTTTCAGCAGATTTCTTTGCCATCATCGCAAGACTAACATAATTTGTCAAATTTGAACGGAAGGGTTATAATGCAATCATCACTTTTATCTCTTTCATTTTCGTTTCATGAAAAACAATTGTGGTGACTTTGATTTCATTCAAAATATCCATACAGAGTTTCAATGATCATGTTTAGACTACGGGTAGTCCCCCATTTTTCCTCAGGGATAGTAGAGCGAGCGAAACGCGAGCGCGCGTGAAAATCGCCCCACATGAGAAAAGGCGACACGCGGCGGGGAGAGAGTGTCGCCTTTTCTCGCTTGGGGCGATTTTCACGCCCGCTCGCATTTCGCTCGCTCTACTATCCCTGAGGAAAAATGGGGGACTACTCGTAGTCTAGATCATGTTAGATCTATGTTATATCCTTGTGGTTGGTATCCAGACTGACTAGACTGTTTAAAGTTAAGCTGATGGTTTGACACATAAACAGTATAATAATACTTACCTGGGTGGTTCCCTGGCCACTTGCTAAAGCCACCAGTGACTGGAGCCTGTGTTGACATGAGGTACTCGCGATTGGATGGAAAATCCACACAAGAAAATGCACCTAGTAACTAGATACGCAGAAGAAAAAGTAAAATGATGTACAAAACTACGATCAATTTAGGTTTCTGAGAAACTGCCCACCTATCCCTCCCCTAAGCCAACATTTTGCCCTAAGTGAGAAGTAAATGTTCATGTTAGCTTAGGGGAGGGGTAGGTGGGCAGTTTCCCAGAGACCTAAAGTGATCCCAAAACTACATACTTTGTTTTGATCAGCAGCAAGACTTTGATTTAAGAAAACAAGTAGCAAGCTTGGAAGCTATAATTACCTCTGAGAGAACCAGGGACAATGCTTAGCAATAAAATAATTAGCTTTGTGGGAGAATCTAGGAATTCCTCTTCAGCTAGGCATACTGGTAAGTAATCTGCCAGGAGCCACCACTTACCACATAGTACCAGCCTAGAGCCCTGAATGGCATTGTTTAACTTGATTTACATATTCACAATGTAGAAAACTGTCCATTTAAATACCTCTAATGATGCTCCCACCCAAAAGGAATAACAAGTGTCTACTGGTTTGTTTGGACGGCCCTGAAATCCAGACTTCTGACGAAATAAACACCACCTCTTTATTTGTTCAAGTTCGTCTGCCACAAGGGAAGAATCCAGTTGATTCATTAAGACAAGGGATGCTAATGCACAGAAAGTTGATCCACCTGGAACGAAAAAAAAATTGATTATCTTTAGTGTCCTGAAAATACATGCAATGTTACAATACTTGAAGACTTAGTTACTGGTGAAAAGAAACTATGGTTTGAGTAGAGATGGTACCATTTGGAGAAACCTTGTTCCCAGTCTCCATCCAACATCCCAGTTCTCACACATACCCCTCAGAGGGGTCTTGGCCCCAAAACTGACCACATTCCATCCTATAGCAGCTTTGCACAGAGCTGGGAAAACTCCCACAAAGAATTTCATTGGTAAATCCTTAATGAATAATCCTCTTCTCTTAACATATGGCAGTAGCTGGTCTATATCTCTTTTAGATCTCCCTTTAACCCTTTAAGTCCCAATGGTGACCAACATCAATTTTCTCCTGACCATATCCATAGATTGTCCAGAGATTAGGTTATAAGAGTTAATAAATTGATCACCTAAGAGAAAATGCTTTGATCTTTTATCAAATTCTCTCAACACATTGTCTAAGGAAATGTATAGAGATCAGTTTGGAGAATTTGTATGTGGATACTGGGGCTTAAAGGGTTAACTGGAAGCTCATGTTTATTATTAGTTAGGGTCCTTTGGGGGCGCAAGAGTGGTGAGGTGGTGAAAGCACTTGCCTCCCACTAATGTGGCTCAGGTTCATATCCCAGCGTCCATGCCATAAACCTGTACAATGTTCTCACCAGGATTTCATACACTGGGGTACACAGGACCCAAAGAGAAGCTAAAAGGGCCTGGTCATGAGGGAGAAAAGCGGGTCACAATTTTTAGATACAGTTAACTCAACGTTTTAACAGGTCTGACTCTTAGATAATGATGAATGTTTTCTAAAGACAACATAAACAATTAAATTTTGGCTTATATTATAAAGAGATGTACGTATGTGTATGTATGCTTACGTACGTTTTGTAATAGTTTTTTTTTCCTTCTTTGCCCTTTGGGACCCCTTTGGCTAATAATTAGCATAATTATTATGGTGGGGCGTTTCCCAAAAAAAGTGCGGCAATGCCACAATGCCACGGTCTGGTAAGAACACTGCCTGTATGTGGGTTGATTTTGTGGTTGGTTCTCTCCACTGCTCCAAGATGAGGTCTAATGTATGGGTACTCCAGTTTGCCCTTCTCCTCAAAACCCAGCACTTTTAAATTCCAATTCAATATGAAGCACACGGATACATTCAAGTGAGTTCTTGAGAACTCCTAACTGCTTTTTGAGGAAATAAACTACAATAAAGTTTTCATTCCTTGTTTCATAAAACCAATTATTTGTCAATTCTTGTTACAAGTATTACTGTTATACCTGAATAGCAAAATAGGTATTTGTGACCATGCTTATCATGTTAGGTGAAAGCTAAACAAAAATAATACAATGCCAAGATGGTAATACTTCAATACAAAACTTACCATGAGCTTCCAGGCTTGGTCCTTGGCCAAAACCATACTCATATGACTAGCAAACAGTCAAACAGACAACATTTTAGGCTTTAAAATACATCATAACAAAGTGATCAGCAAGAGATCTTTTTATAAATTTGAAGTACATTACAATGTATTTTTTTACAAAATTTAACAGTTAATATATTAGTTCTCAGGGTCACAATTTCTTCTGTATATATACATGTATGAACAAGAAAAGAATAATTACCATGCTTTTTCGTATGTACTCTACTAATTTAGAGGTATCCAATCCACTCCAGTCATTTAAAAAGTAGCTAATGCAACAAGCACAGTACACAAATCGCATGTCATTTTCACTACCCTCCACAGTGGGTCGAAAGCTGCAAAATTAGATTTAAATATTTACATGTAAGTAGAATGTCAAGAATTTCTCACATCTTACTATCACCAACTGAGAAATAGCACATGTCCAGCTCTTGCAGTTTTCATATTTCCTGTATTTTGTTTTTGTTTTGGAATCTTTCCACCCAGAAAATTTGATTTAAAGTTGCTGTTTAACTCTTTAAGTCCCAATAGTGACCGATATCAATTATCTCCTAACAATATGACAATTAGGATCCAAAGCAATGCCTTGGCATATATTTACCTATGCAGAGTTATAAGCATGTTCAAAGGTTACATTTTTAAAAATAGCATCCTGAAGGTACTTTTATGTATGATTTACATGTATGTCTCTCTTCTTGGCCTAAGCCCTTGGGTTACTGTGAAAGGTGTGGTGTGACTTAGCCTGTGTGAGAGCAGGCTCGCTTGTGTGAGTGAGGGAAAAAATACTCTGCTGGCAAAATTTTCGCTGAACTCACACAAGTGGGCCTGTTCACTGGCTAGGTGTGACTTAAAAAGAAATTCTGAGTGAAAATGCATTCAAATGATGTATCATTTTTGGCCTTAATTGGATAGTTATACAATAAATAAAAATACAAAATTATTAAGTGAGGTGTTAGAACAAAGCGTAAGCAGATATCTAGACAAGACGAGGGATGGTTTGGGTTAACACAGATTTCTGTACACTGACAGAATTAGAACTCCTAGAGTACAGTAATATTCTGACCTGCCATCAGAGAGTTGTAATGCCTTTAAGCCTTCAATAACAGCTGGTCTATTAACCCGAGATAAATCATCTCCTAAGATAACAAGACTTGCCAAGGCTGTGTATTGTCAAGATCAAGTGCTCACCATCCTGGCAGCCATTTTGTAATTGGGTTCAAATGAACCAAGGAGAGTGGGCATCAGGGTTGATAGTAGTGGGGGGAGTGATCCCAAACTGTGTTCACCCCCTGAGTAGATTAGATAGTCATTTTCAGGTCAAGATGGTCACCTGCAGTGTTTGTTCTCAGCAATCTTATGAAAAAATAGGGGACTATGAACAGTCTAGGGGTGCATATTATGACCTCCTAAAATCATTTTCAAGTGACCATCATCTGTTCATTTTGCTGTGTAATTGATGCAAATGATCAGCAGCTCTCTGAGTAATGTTCAATGCTGCGTGAATTTTTCGCAGTCCTGGTTCACTCATCAATGACAAACCACACAGTCCAAAGTATGTATGTAAAGCATCTATAAACAAATGATAAATATGAAAGCTATATTACTGTGTTAAATGAGGCTGTAAAACTAGAATGAAGTTATCAAGAATTATTTTGTTTTGTGTCATAACACTCTAGTGAGCTCAAGCAAGCGCGACAATGAAAATGGAAACAACAAAAATAATTAAAGCAACAGGTTTAATAAGCAAAGCAAAAACTCTGAACATGCAGCACACTTTTTTGGTAGATTTCTTTGCCATCATCGCAAGACTAACATAATTTGTCAAATTTGAACGGAAGGGTTATAACGCAGTCATCACTTTTGTCTCTTTCATTTTCGTTTCATGAAAAGCAATTGTGGTGATTTTGATTTCATTTGAAATATCCATACAGAGTCTAACTGATCATGTTAGATCTATGTTATATCCTTGTGGTTGGTAGCCAGACTGACTAGACTGTATAAAGTTAAGCTGATGGTTTGACATATAAACAGTATATAATACTTACCTGGGTGGTTCCCTGGCCACTTGCTAAAGCCACCTGTGACTGGAGCCTGTGTTGACATGAGGTACTCGCGATTGGATGGAAAATCCACACAAGAAAATGCACCTAGTAACTAGATACGGAGAAGAAAAAGTAAAATGATGTACAAACCTAAGATCAATTTAGGTTTCTGAGAAACTGCCCACCTACCCCTCCCCTAAGCCAACATTTTGCCCTACGTGAGAAGTAAGTGTTCATGTTAGCTTAGGGGAGGGGTAGGTGGGCAGTTTCCCAGAAACCCGATCCCAAAACTACATACTTTGTCTTGATCAGCAGCAAGACTTTGATTTAAGAAAAGAAGTAGCGAGCTTGGAAGTTATAATTACCTGAGAGAACTATGGAGAATGCTTAGCAATAGTTTTTTATTAGTTTTCTGGGAGAATGTAGGAATTCCTCTACAGTTAGGCATACTGGTAAGTAATCTGCCAGGAGCCACCACTTACCACATAGTACAAGCCTAAAGCCCTGAATGGCATTGTTTAACTTGATTTACATATTCACAGTGTAGATGTACATTTCCTGGGAATTTACCAAAGCACAGAATTGAAAGAAGTAGAGCGTAAATTTTCCTATTCTTGCAGGAAACTGTCCATTTAAATACCTCTAATGATGCTCCCACCCAAAAGGAATAACAAGTGTCTACTGGTTTGTTAGGACGACCCTGAAATCCAGACTTCTGACGAAATAAACACCACCTCTTTATTTGTTCAAGTTCATCTGCCACAAGGGAAGAATCCAGTTGATTCATTAAGACAAGGGATGCTAATGCACAGAAAGTTGATCCACCTGGAACGAAAAAAAAATTGATTATCTTTAGTGTCCTGAAAATACATGCAATGTTAGAAGAAGTATTAGTTACTGGTGAAAAGAAACTATGGTTTGAGTAGAGATGGTAACCTTTGGAGAAACCTTGTTCCCAGTCTCCATCCAACATCCCAGTTCTCACACATACCCCTCAGAGGGGTCTTGGCCCCAAAAATGACCACATTCCATCCCATAGCAGCTTTGCACATAGTTGGGACAACTCCCACAAAGAATTCCATTGGTAAATCCTTAATGAATAATCCTCTTCTCTTAATATATGGCAGTAGCTGGTCTACATCTCTTTTAGATCTCCCTTTAACTGGAAGCTCATGTTCAATTATTATTAGGGTCCTTTGGGGGTCTAAGAGTTGTGCAGTGGTGAAAGCACTCGCTTCCAACTAATATGACTCAGGTTTATATCCCAGCGTCCATGCTGTAAACCTGTACAGTGTTCTTACCAGTGTTCTTACTGTACAGAGTTCTTATTTGCCTCAGCCTTCGGGTTTGGCAAATAATAATTATTGATCTGCTCGCCACAGACAAATCACGATATTTTGCTCAACTTTGTCCAATAATATTGTTTATTATTGTCAACTCTTGTTACAACTATTACTGTTATCCTTGAATAGCAAAATAGGTATTTGTGACCATGCTTATCATGTTAGGTGAAAGCTAAACAAAAATAATACAATGCCAACATGGTAATACTTAAAGACAAAACTTACCATGAGCTTCCAGGTTTGGTCCTTGGCCAAAACCATACTCATATGACTAGCAAACAGTCAAACAGACAACATTTTAGACTTTAAAATACATCATAACAAAGTGATCACCAAAAGATCTTTTTATGAATTCAAAGTAAATTACAATGCAATTTTTTATGAACAGTTAATATATTAGTTCTGAGGGTCACAATTTCTTCTGTATATATACAAGTATGAACAAGAAAAGAATAATTACCATGCTTTTTCGGATGTACTCCACTAATTTAGAGGTATCCAATCCACTCCAGTCATTTAAAAAGTAGCTAATGCAACAAGCACAGTAAACAAATCGCATATCATTTTCACTACCCTCCACAGTGGGTCGAAAGCTGCAAAATTAGATTTAAATATTTACACGTAAGTAGAATGTCAAGAATTTCTCACATATTACTATCACCAACTGAGAAATAGCACATGTCCAGCTCTTGCAGTTTTCATATTTCCTGTATTTTGTTTTTATTTTGGAATCTTTCCACTCAGAAAATTTGATTTAAAGTTGCTGTTTAACCCTCTAAGTCCCAATAGTGACTGACATCAATTATCTCCTAACAATATCCATACATTGTCAAGAGATAAGTTATGAGAATTGATAAAATGATCACCCAAGAGAAAATGCCTTGATCTTTTATCAAATTCTCTCAACAAATTCTTTAAGGAAATATATACAGATCAATCAGGAGAATTTGTATCTGATTACTGGGGCTTAAAGGGTTAAGCCATACCCAGCATCATCATTATCATCATCATCATCTCTCACTGTACCAGAAGCCTCATTAGGCTATAAGCTATACCCTGCAATGCTGACAATTAGGACCCAAAGCAACGCCTTGGCATATTACCTATGCAGAGTTATAAGCATGTTCAAAGGTTACATTTTTAAAAATAGCATCCTTAAGGTACTTTTATGTATGATTTACATGTATGTCTCTCTTCTTTGCTTAAGCCCTTGGGCTACTGTGAAGGGTGTGGTGTGACTTAGCCTGTGTGAGAGCAGGCTCGCTTAAGTGAGTTAGGGAAAAAAATACTCTGCCGCCAAAATTTTCCCTGAACTCACACAAGTGAGCCTGTTCACTGGCTAGGTGTGACTTAAAAAGAAATTCTGAGTGAAAATGCATTCAAATGATGTATCATTTTTGGCCTTAATTGGATAGTTATCCAATAAATAAAAATACAAAATTATTAAGTGAGGTGTTAGAACAAAGTGTAAGCAGATATCTAGACAAGACAAGGGATGGTTTGGGTTAACACAGAATTCTGTACACTTAGCGAATTAGGTCTCCTAGAGTACAGTAATATTCTGACCTGCCATCAGAGAGTTGTAATGCCTTTAAGCCTTCAATAACAGCTGGTCTATTAACCCGAGATAAATCATCTCCTAAGATAACAAGACTTGCCAAGGCTGTGTATGTCATGGCAATGTGACTGCAATCATAATCATGTACACCCTGAAAAATGTAAGAATAAAAGAGACTGTTACTTGAAGTAAAATAAACGTTGAAACACAAACGATTCTTTTTACTTCAGGTTAACTTAAGCCTATTTTCCCATGCAATATAATTAAGATTAATTGACATATTTCACCATTCTCAAAGCTCAAGAAACCGCAAGTCAGCTAAGTTGGTCATAAGAATGGTTTTCAAGTCACTTGAAACTTTCTTGAATTGTTTCAACCCCTGGTTTCAACTTTCCGACTTAAATGAGATGCAAAGTTACTTGAGATTTTACTTAGGCCTTCACACATGCATTTTTGGTTAAGTAAAACTTAGCAGCTCTTAAGTCTTACTTAATAGCCTAGTGGAAAGACAACCATTGGTGTTTTAAGTTGGCTGTACACCTCTGAGGAACTGTCATTAAGCCAACATCTAAAACTGGAAGCTTTATTCTCACCTCTGATAGAACCTTATGACGAGCTGATGTGGATGAGCCACGGAACCCACACCTTGTCAAGTCTGTATCAGCTGAAACATTGAAGGTAACATAAACATTTTAGGATCACAAACTTTATAAGAATATAGGATTGTCTATGCAAAAATGCCGACTTTCCCAAAATTTCTCAAATTCTTGGTCTCAGAGTCTGGGGCTTGCTAACATTTAGACTCTCAAGAAGTATTGAAATTTCACAATATAGCTCTAGAAGGTTTGTAAAACTCTAAAGTAGCTGCCAAGTTTACTCTTAAGTTATTTATGTTAGCAGCGACTTGTAAACTTATCCAACACACATGCTTTAAGTTTATATCTCAGCAAATATTAGCTAGTTTGGTTAAAAAATTAAGGTCAAATTCAAAAGTCTAAGTCTTTGAAGTCTAATCCAAAGGAAGATTTAAGTTTTGTTTTGAACTTTGTACAAATTGCTGCTTCAAACCTTTTCAGCTATTTGGAGTTTCAGCTGAGGCTGGAATTTTCTCACAAAAAAAGAAATCTTGGCCATATACATTTGCAATATGATTCATTAAAAAATTGTTCCGAATAGAAAAATTTTGAAAAGCATAAAGATAACAACTTTGAAATAATAATGATTCTTTCTATCAAAGTTATTAGCTTTGTCATACTTTAAAAACTGCAGTTATGAACTTACCAGGAGTATGATCTGGCAGCTTCTGGTTTGAGTAAATCCATTCTATTATTTCCTTTTTGTTTTCCTCCACTATGTGGAGTGAATTTAAAATATCAAGACCAGAAAGTGCAAAGAAAGCCACAGTTACCCTGTCACAATCAAAGCAGAAAAGATGCACATTGTAGCTTTCATCTTGAGAGTTACAGTCACCCTGTTAATACGGACACTGAGGGGGCCATAAAAGGTGACCGGTCCTTTCACTTTATTGGTCATTTCGCCTATGTCCTGTTCACTTACATCTTAAGTCATTTTGCTTATGTGTTAGGTCGTTTTGTTAACATCTTTCACTCATGGTTTACTGACATCGATTTTGTGTTTGTTATATTTTACTTACTAAAAGTTTAAGTAAGACTTGATGACAAATTGAATAGTTAAGCATTCTGACAAACCAAAAGAATCAAACAAAACTTTTTGCTTGGTACTTAATCAAAATGTTCAGAGGTCATAGTAGATCATCTGAGCGCCCCACTTTTATATCAGAACGCTGGAGTCTGTGGTTAATATTACTTCACTTTTACATTTACTAATAATATATAGGTCCTAAAATGTGGTGATTGCGGATTTTGGCAACACCAGACTTGCCACACTGGCAGTGCCCGAATTACTTTAACCACTGATTTGTAGTTGCTGTGGGCTATCCTTCATAACAGAATTCTTTGACATAAAAAATAAGCAGCCGCAGGGCGTTATTCTTCTAGAGTAAGATTCTTGAGGAAATTTTGTTCTTATTCAAAGAATGACTTACCAGATGTTACCAAAACAACTTATGACACTTTTCTTATAAAACGTTAGCAAAATGACCTAACACATAAGCAAAATGACCTAAGACGTTAGTGAACAGGATGTAGGCGAAACGATTTGTTGGTGGAAGGACCATAAATCCCATAGAAATTGTCCATATTAAGTGGCTTGAATTTAGGGAAAATGTAACTGCGGGCTTTCTTTCTCCAGGGACAAGGCAAACTGTCTGTAATAATGAGGTGTCCACATTAAGTGGGTGTCCATTAAGCGGGTTTGACTGTAATTAATTGAATTGATGCAGTCAATCTCCTCCGTGGCCAATAAACAAAAGAGAGCTTGCAGAGTAGTCATGTACAAAAATACAATGCAGATATTGCCAGAGACTGCATGGGCCCCTTAAAGTTTTCTATTCTTTGCATCTTGGGTTCAAGTATTCTTTATTGAAAGAGTACACCTAAATATTTAAGGCCTCTATTGCAAGGGTCATCACTGACATAGTTGCAATGAGCAAGCCTATGCTTAAATAAAACTGTTACAACAATTAGTATACACGGTATTAGCTTTGCGATTTTACCTTAGTTTATATTATACGATTCGTATTGACATTTGAATTAAAGCTCAGAGTGATCTACAGAATAGTTGAGAACGATAAACAAACCTGCTGGTGTCTAGAGAAGAGTATGCTGATGGTAGTATATCCAAGCATCGTTTAAAGAATTTTACGTGCTTCTTGCAAACAAAATCTTCATTTGATTCATGGAGCTTCTCTTCACTCTCCATTTTGTTCGTTTCCAAGAAACATCCGTTATGTAAGCCTCATTGAAGTGTTGAGGAGAAGAGACTGGGACTGAGACTCACATGTCACAAGTTTGAGAAAAATCCACTTTTCAGCATAAAACAACCGAATCTGGCTATTTAATGTAAAATGTGGTGAAAAAATCGGCAAAAGGCGATTTTTAGGTTTTTTGATTAACCATTCGCCAGTGGACAACCGATTGGGCGTACTATAGCTAGCCAATAGCTACCCCCTCCCCCTGCGTATGGACGTACCGCAGAAAAAGGGAAGAAAAGATCGTCTTCGAGAGACTGACGCGAATTGTGTCATGTGACGAATTGCACGAATCACGATCATCTACTCAAACCAACTTTTCATATCACTTTTTAAAACCACCATGACTACTCCATCAACGACGTCCCTTTGGTTCCCAGGGGAAGTAGTAATCCACATTAACCGTGGGGCTCTATCAGAAAGCAGGCGAGGGCTTCCTACTTTTTCTATACTTGTCCAGTACTCCGACAAATTTATGCATGGCTTTGTTAAATTTCTCATTGTTTTGCTTCGTTCTTTATTGTTATACTTTTGTGTAATATTGATACAACAAAATACCATGCATAAATTTTTCGGGTTCCATACATAAATTTGTCGGAGTATTGGACAACCCTTACTTTTTTCTTAGTGTATCATTTTCTGTTTGCTGCATTTTAAATCTCGCGTTTTCATTTTTCTTTTTTTTAGCCCCTGCAGAGAGTTATGGTTGCAAATCGAAATTTCAGACAAAAAAAATTTACCAGCCTGCTTAGCATTTAAGATTTTTACTGGTCCAGGCCCACTAAATAACAACTTTCACTGATCACTAGTTTGTACGGTTTTTTTTCTAAGATACCGATACTTAAAGCGCCTGATGGAACATGCCGGTCACATAGATCTTAAAGATTAGAAAAATAACTTCCTCAGTCTTTCTCTATTCTATGTTTACTTTTAGAGGAGTCTCTGGCGTCAGTTACATAAAGTAATATCCCTGTAATGGACTATCCCTCTTAGTACTTACGGCGATCCCCTTGTTTAATGCTGTTTCCCGTATGATTCAGCACCATTATACGAATAAAAACCTAAGAGAGCGATTTTACTTCAAAATTCGTGAAATAGAAAGTAGACTACTACGCAGTGTTACGCTTTAATTTCATGGCATTTCCTTTGATTACTTGTAACACTTTTTGCCATAGCTAATTGTAAAATCGCATAAAGAGAGACGCATATCAGAAAAACAACTATTCAGTAAAAACTGAATCATTGGATAATGCAATTCTAGAGATCTGATTGGCTTAGCTATTATCAGGTGCCGATCGGCTCTGTCATCATTGTATATGAGCCATAACAATTATTCCTGAGTCAATAGCCCATTCGGCCTTCGGCCTCATGGGCTATTGACTCAGAGGCCGTGAGGGCAAGAGGAATAATTGTTTTAGTAAAATCCAACTAGTTGGTAAAAAAAATATCGAAACAAAACAACTTTAGCTAGATAAAGCTAGACTTTAATCCTTTTTTGTCGCCAAAAAGCCGGCGTTTTGCGCTACTAGTGGGCTATAACATATAGCCTAGTAGTAGCTCAACCAATGATAACGAAGCATTGATGATAGACCACTAGTTGGATTTTACTAATTAGATCATTTATTAGAAATACAGTATATACAAAATATAAACAGTCATTGTGCAGGAGAATTTTAATATTTCACACTTTTGTTGAGACACCGTTCTTTTCTTCAAGTCAAGAGAGAATGATTATCTCTTGCTCAAGTATAAAAACATTTTTTTCTTACAGGGAGCGTCACTTTAACGAGGCGCCTGTTTGAGGTGGGGTTCATTTTGACAAGGTCAACCACGAAAAATTCTCGAATACCTTGAACTCTCTTGCGATCTCTACGGATTTCTTCCATCCAATTTTCAAAACGAAACGATAAGTCATGCAATAACTTAAGTCTGCGAACAGAACACAAGCTTTTGTCCCAGAATTATCTTCTCAGCATTCAACTTATATTATATCATCCTCTCGTATAATTGTGTTGTGCTTGCCTATGCTTCTTCTTTTTCTTCCATATGCGATCCATTCTAAAACGCGTATATTCACCAAGCTTCGAGCCACACTTTGGACATGTGTGAACGACATTTTTGAGGCCATCCATGATAAATGGAATCCACATACAACAGTAGCACCTGGGTAAAACACATAAGAGTTAGATTCCAGGGGCGTAGCCAGTTTTTCAACGCATGATTAGTACGCACTGACCTCACCAACACTTTCAGCTCGTAAGCTTTTTAGCTCACCCCAACAACGCATAATTTATTACAAGCGGTAGACTGATCAAACGAAAAATTTGTAGGCCTCAGCCTACAGGTCTATGAGCTGGCTACGCCCCTGGATTCTGACTTTTTACATACTCAGATCTCTTTGTTTTCTCAAAGTAGACTAAAAAACTGAAACGGTAAATTTCAGTGGAGCGAATACAGATGATTTCTGCCTGCCATTTTACATTAATGACTTTAAACTCTTGACGTAATATGGGGTAAACAGTGACCAGAATCTAGAAGCTTCTAGAAGGCGGTAACCAGCCTTCTACGATAAAACCGCCCGATCGCAAGTTAAAATTATACACTTGCTGAAGAAAACAATGGAACATAGTACTCTTTAAAGCCACAACAGTATAAATAGCTAATCGTTTGATCCCTCCAACAGGGATTCATAGTAAGTTTATGCCTAACAACTTCACCCAATTATCAGAAAAACATCGACCATTGGCTAAGCCGTCATATTGCGCGTCCTTTGACAATCCTACCGAATTACTGCTCATGAATTTTAATATGTTGTCTCCTGTCACATGTGGAGAAGGGTAAGAAAGATTCCATACAATCTAATAAATAGAAAGTGCTTAAATCAGTGGTAGTTCGGGTGGTTTCGAATTTAAATTCCGGTCTTTATCAGTCACCTTGTTTAGAAAGGTAGTTTGGAAATTTTTCCTACAATTGTCGAGTTGTTAGGGCCAAAAGTCTTCAGATCTCCTCCAATTCTTGACAATTAATTATTGACAAACATTTTTTTGGAGGGAGTTAAACGACACTTGGGCCGTATTCTCTTCTAGGTGTCAATGAAAATACAAAAAAATAATACGCGAAAACAAGAATAATCAATCATGTCTTGACGTGATTGTTGTTGAAAAAACACACATGTAACAGATGCAGCATATGAAAGAGGAAATAAGTTTATTTTGAGACAAACAATCTCAGATGTACATAACTTTATATGTCAATTACTTTTAGAATAGAGTGTTTTGGAACAATCTACTTATACAATTCACAAGT